TTGCATGCATTGTTTTCTCTCAGGAAAAGTACGTTCTTGTATGGCTCTCTTACCTCCTTCACATGTTTGATCAAATGTCATCTCAGTGAGGCCTAATAACTATTTTAAAATTGAAACCTACCTGCCCTCAAACCCTCCCCCCAACTCTGCTCAATATTTTTTCATAATACCAATTTTTAACATATATAGTAATATGAGATAGTGTTTGTTATCTCTGCACCACCCCCCAGCCCAGCTAGAATGTCAGTTTCATGAGGACAGGAGGTTTTTTTGTTTGTTTGTTTTTTTCCCCTGGTACGCGGGCCTCTCACCGTTGTGGCCTCTCCCGTTGCGGAGCACAGGCTCCGGACGTGCAGGCCCAGCGGCCATGGCTCACGGGCGCAGCCGCTCCGCGGCATGTGGGATCTTCCTGGACCGGGGCACGAACCTGTGTCCCCTGCATCGGCAGGCGGACTCTCAACCACTGCGCCACCAGGGAAGCCCAGGACAGGGTTTTTTGATTCACTGAGGTGTATCTTAAATGCCCAGAACCATGCCTGGTATTAGTAAGTATTCAGTAAATGTTTATTGAATGACTGACTGACTGAATGAATGAATGGTTTCTTGACTAATAATGGTTGAAACCTATTTTGAAAACCCAGTTTGAAAAATGCTGGTCTGGTGGCTAGACTCAATCCTAATTTTCTTCTTTTTTTTGGCTGCATTCGGTCTTCGTTGCTGCGCATGGGCTTTCTCTAGTTGCGGTGAGCAGGGGCTACTCTTCCTTGCGGTGTGCGGGCTTCTCATTGTGGTGGCTTCTCTTGTTGGGGAGCACGGGCTCTAGGTGTGCAGGCTCCACCAGTTGTGGCACATGGGCTCAGTAGTTGCGGCTCATGGTCTCTAGAGCGCGGGCTCAGTAGTTGTGGCGCACGGGCTTTTTTGCTCCGTGGCACGTGGGGTCTTCCCGGACCAGGGCTCGAACCCGTGTCCCCTGCATTGGCAGGCAGATTCTTAACACTGTGCCACCAGGAAAGTCCCTCAATCCTTAATTTTCTATTTGGGCTGCTATATGTAACAAACTTTGGGGAGATAAAATTAATTTTTATTTTTTAGTCATTTTTAGTTAATTTTGTTCAGTTAGGTGTGGTTTGTCCAAAGTGCTTGCTGGAGTCACTCTAACAGTAATCTAAATGAAAACATAACAGTACTTTTCTGACATTACCCCTTGTGTTATATAACTTTGAAAGCCAGTCATCCACTGTTGGCAGTTTGTACTTTCAGATTTTTTTTGCAGGCACAAACATATATTAAATCATACTATACAGTGTTCCACAATTTGCATTTTTGTTTTTTGGATTTGTCTGATTGGTTTTTGTCATGGTAGTTTATTTGTTTTGCTCCTAATATTCTACCATGGACATTGTGTCTTGAGATGCACTATAAGATCATCGGTAAGAGCACGGATGCCCAGCCAGACTGGGTTCAAATCCCAGCTTTGCCAACCAGACTCTGGGCAAGTTACTTGAGTCTTCTGTGCCTCTGTTTTCTCATCTCTTAACATGGGAATAATAATAGTATCTCATCATACAGTGTTGTGGAGATAAAATGACGCCTGGTATACATACCTGTGCGTAGAAATATTAGCTGTCATCACTTGTATTACTTCATTATTTATCCCCACTATGTAGTATCCCTTGTTTTGAAAGTGTAACACTTTAATTAGTCACTTGTTTGATATATGTTTAGGTTGTTTCTAATTCTCTATTGTTACAAACAGTAATCACTGAGGGTGAGTTTGTGTTTGCACGTTAGTATATTTATTTCCACAAAATAAGTACATAGACTTTCTGAGTCTAAAATATAAACACTATTGTACACTTGCACCAACAATGTATCAGTATTTATTTCCCTGTACTCTTGCTGATGCTGGATGTTACCAGACTTAAATAGTTTTCTTTTTTTCTTCTAGTAGTTCATGATTGATGGACTGGTTCTTTCCCCTCCCCAACATTTTTATTCTTTCTGAAATATATTGAGGTAATGATCTGTTTTTTTTCAAACTAGTTATTTCCAGTACTCCCCATCTCTTCCCCACTGATTTGAAGTGGTGCCTTTGTGTCATGTACCAAATTCTCATATATACCTTGATCTCTTTCTAGATTCTTATTTCCTTCTATCGTCCTGTCTGTTCCTATACAAAGTACCATCTGATTTTAATCACTGTAGCGTATACCTTTTGATATATTAATAGCCCCACTCACTACATACACTCAAGTATACACACTTTGTTCCTGTTTTAGGAACAATTATTTTTCCAGATTAATTTCAGAGTGATTTTTTTTGGCTTTTAAAAAATGCCCACTGGAATTTTGTTTCAAAAAGTATTAAATTTTGGATTAATTTGGAGTGAATTTATATCTTTACAGTATTGAGAGTTAGAACTTAAAATGTCTATTCAGGGCTTTCATTTTTTTGCTATGTCTTACACGTTTGTCATAATATTCTATAGTTTTTGTTTGTTTGTTTGTTTGTTTTGCGGTACACGGGCCTCTCACTGTTGTGGCCTCTCCCGTTGCGGAGCACAGGCTCCGGACGCGCAGGCTCAGCGGCCATGGCTCACAGGCCCAGCCGCTCCGAGGCATGTGGGATCTTCCCGGACCGGGGCACGAACCCGTGTCCCCTGCATCGGCAGTGCATTGGCAGGCGGACTCTCAACCGCTGCGCCACCAGGGAAGCCCTATTCTATAGTTTTTGTTGCCATTTTGAACATGCTCTTTTTTCCATAGTTTAATGTTAAGACATTGATTACATGTAACTGTAAGGTATTGACGTGTGTGTACATATACACACACATATGTATTTGCCTTATATGCACCCACCCTTTACACTCTTTAATACTTCTGTAGCTTTCTTAGACTTTCTAACCTTACCGTTGTATCCTGTGCAAATAATAAATTTCATCTTCCTTTCTGATGTTTGTACCACTTGCTTCATTTTTGTTGTTGTAGAATAGATTCTAGAATGATGCTGAATAATAGTGATGATAGCAGGCATCTTTGTTAGTTCTTTGTGTAAATATATATAATTTAATTGAAAAATTTCAATTAATGACTTTTTTGGGTTCACATTATTTGCTCTAATCAACCTTACTTCAAGTCTTGTTTTATATTAAACCTGAGAGTACTTGGGAACGAATAAGGTCTTTTGTTACTCTGGAAACAATAAGAACATAGTTTTTGGCTAAGAATAAAAAGAGTAATAACTGTCTGAATCCCTGGAAGTTTATACCTGAGATGAAAGAGCTACCCCTTCCAATCAAATGCCACGTTAAAAATTATGACTGGTAAAGTTAGATTTCAAAATTATGTGACATAATGCCATTTTTTATTGCATCCTGAAAATGAATAATAGGCTGGGCTTTGCCCTCCTCAATATTCAGTTCTGTAAGCTGCAAAGAGATGTGAGGTGTGGCTGCCTGTGGCCTGGGGAGCTAGTCCTCAGGGTGCTGCTCTTGCAGGTTAGACCTCCTCTAGCGTTTCCTCAGCCTCTGCCCTTACAGCAAGCCAGTGCCTGGGATTCCTTGGAGCCTGGAAATGCTGATCTAGTCTGAGTAGGGCTTAAGTTCACGTATGACAGATTGTTCAGCCGTATCTGACTTCGAGTTAACTCTCTTCTCTTAATAGTTTGACTCCATCTGGGCAATAGAAAGCCAGAAATTTAAAATAATCTCAAATGTAATCAAGAATTAAATGTGTTGGCTTCATTGTCTTTGACATGTTTGTTAGCTGCCCTTCATTCACAGATAAAGATTACACTTTGGATAATTATTTCACTGTTGTAGAAAGAGGAAGAGAAGATTTTATATTCTTAAAACTAGGGAAAAGTTTACTTTTTTGTCCACCCCTGCCAGTTTCTGTATTTATTGGTTGTGTGACTGTTTTGTTCGTTTGCTTTTGTTCTGGGTCTTTTTTTTTTTGATTTTTGTTTTTGGTTTGGGTTTAAATTTTAGTTGAAGTAACCAGCTTAATTTTGAGGTAATCATAGTCTACTTAGCTTCATTTTTTTCTCTAACTTAGTAATAATAGTATTTTCCCCAAATTTTTTACTATGAAAAATGTCAAACATAAGATAGTTTTCTTACCGAATGACCCATATTCTGGATTTGGCCGATTGTTTTCTTTCATGATTAATGTAAGAACTTTTAATCATTGTACTTTCATCTGTTACTGAATATGATCTTAGGGGAGAGATCCTATAAGTAATGACCCTGAAAACAGGATCTTAATTTTAGAATATCTGTGTTCATTTTCCATGTCTAACAAAGATTTCCTCTGTGGCCTTGAAGGAATTACAGAATCATTCTACCTATGCTATATAGAACAAGCAGAATTGCCTACTAGTTTTAAAGTTCAGTGGATTTACTGATTGGTGTTAACAAAGCCCATAGAAGATATAAAGCCTAGCTAAAATAATAAAGAAATCACTGATAATACTTTTTTGGTCATTTCAAACAGGTTTCATTTAGCATGAGTGTTACATCCTCAGCAGACGTTTCTTGTCTCTTATTTATGTTTAGATCTGAAGGAAAGGGAAACTAACCTTAAATGCCTGCTGTGTGGTAAAAGCACTGTGCTCATTCAAATGCATCTTCTTATTGAATTCTTAAGCTTCCATCTGCCTTGTGAAATAGGTGAGTTCCTAGTTCCATTTCACAGGCAAGGAATCCAAAGATCAAAGATGTTTAGTAAAGTGTTCTATGTTACAAACATAGTAAGTGCCAGAACCAGGCTATGAACCCAGATTGTAAACTTTCCAAGTTGAGCTTTATCATGAGAACTCTTCTGAATACTTCTGAATATCACATACATTGAGGAAAGTCTCCCCCCAAAAAGTTGGTAGCTACCCATGAAGCATTTTATACCATCTTCTTCTGACCAGAAACATTTAAAATGTAGACAGTGTTTTTTAAGTACATGAATTTTCCAGTTATATTACATCTCCTGTCACTGATTCTGTTCTAGGATGTTGGCAAAGGATGAACTGATGGCCATGCTTCAGAAATGTTTCAAGGTTTTTAAGTCCTCTTCTGAAAAGCAGCTTGGCAACACAGCAAAGAGAATAGAGGAGTTCCTGGCCCAGTTTCAGAGCCTCGATGGTGAGAATATAATATCTGGCCAATTCTACTGGCTATGACAGTCATTTAACTATAAAATAACATGGAAAACCCCACGTTCTGATGTGTTGAGAGATGAAGAGGTAACGTAGTTTGTGATCAGTCAGTATACCAAGCCTCAGAATAGCACAACGTGACAACTAAGCCAAATGGTTCTCTTCCAGATTTGGTTTAAACAATGAAAACTATCAGATGGGCAGGAAAGAAATTTCTTTCTCCAGATAGACAGTTTTGAGGACTTACCTTAGGGGAGAAAACAAAAAAGGGCAGCAAAAAGAAATCAAAAAGATTGGAGAGAGTAGCAGGGCATCATAATTAAGGACTCCTTTTAGATGTTTTTCTTAAGCATTTCATCAAGTTCTTTATAGATTTCAAAAACACTGCATAAATTATTTGTAAGCCTGAAAATTAATAGCTGTGAACTGCTTTCACAGCAGCGAGGCTCATTGGCATGCTGATTACAAAAATATGCATGAGGTTTGCTTCAATCAGGTTTACAAAGCTTGAATCTTTCAGTCCTCAATGAACTGCGGCAGCCTGGCATTCCCCAGTGTTGGAGGAGGGCACAGTTTCCTTTACCTTGCGTGACCTGCACAGGATTCGCCGTTTGCCGAACGCTGGGATGCCTGCCTGTGCACAGGCAGCCTGTTCAGCGCTCCGATGCTCCAGGACTTCTTTGTTCTGAGGGGGCTCAGTGGGTTGATACTGATGTTTAACTTTTCATGGGCTCTTCCCTTGCTCTGTTTCTAGCACCAAAGTATAGTACTCCTTCAGTAAAACAAGCAAAATGACTGTGCACTTCTTATTTTCCCCTATTGAGGGAAATTTTTAATGGGGTCTGGGGAAAAGAGGCAACTTGGTGTATAAGCACACGGATCGAACCAAGGCATGGTGAAAACATTGCACTTGGAATGTCCCTATCAATCCTTTCTGTGTTTGGCAAGTGTCCCTTTGTCTTTAAATCCTTTAGATTTAGGAAACGTCTTTTGCTGAATCCCTCCCTCTCTCTCCATAGCTGCAGTGCTAGGCCCCATGAGTGCTGAGCCAGTGCAAGGTGAAAGAGCCAGCCTACTTGACTGGAGGGGCATGAGCGTGAGGAAGTGCCACCCCATGGTACCAGGGGCTCCCTCCAGATCTCGCGCAGGCATTATTGCTCTGCAGTGCATTTGCAGGACAAGTGAGCCGAACCATTTTCAAATCATAAACATTTTAAAGGGCTGGAAATTGGTATCATAGAGATTATTGAGTCCAGCTGCAACAGAAACTAAAGCCCAGGAAGGGGAAGGAGCTTGCTTGAGATCTCGTAGCTAGCTAGGGTAGTACCCAGCCTGGAGCCCACCTCTTTCTTAATCACCAGCTTATTGTTTTTTTTCTCATGGAGTCACAGTCGCCACCTAGTTAGGGTCACTGGGACAGTGAGGGGCTGCCCTTAAGGATATAAACAGGGTAAAAGACTTAGAAGAATATAAGATAAATTAGGTAAATTTCAGTCTTTTACAAAATCAGACTCAGGGATTTTTGTAAAATGAAACTGCAGATATTATAATAATTTTAATTAGAGTTCATGTAACATAAGCTAGTGAACAAATCCTGTGATGTGCTAATATTAAATAAAGGAACACAGCTTTTAGAAATGGGAAGCTTGGTAATTAAGATGATTAACTGTCTGAAGAATAAAGAATTTTGTAAGTTGAAGCAAAACGAGTGTCTTGAATAAATGTACTTTTCTGTTTTCAAAAGTGGCACATTATTAATAATAAAGTGAAATTAACCCCACCCTCCCATATTGGACAGGCGTACAGTTTGACTGTATGCTATCTCTAGTTTCTTGACAGTTATTACACATTACAGTTTAGGTTTAAAATTACATTTGGAGGGTTAAGTAGGTCAGAGTGTCATATCAGATTTATTTTTAAGGCTCTGCTACATGTTAATGAAATGGGACAGAGAATTTATTAGATATTTTAACCTTAAAGCATGTCTTTCTTGAACCAAGATTTATCAATAGCTAAAAAGAAATTTATTCTTCGAGAACAAGGCAGATTCTCCGGCTGCATCTTCCTGTCTTAGGTTTGGCCAAATAAGCCATGTGAGTGTGAGGTTCCTAAAACGTGCCCTGCACCAGGGAGAGGCTGTTAGAACCTCATGTTCTCTGGAAACACAACTACACCTTTTACCAGATACCGTTTTCTGTTTCCTTTGCTAAAGAACCATGATGCAGTTTGTATTTCAGTAGATTATTTCAAAACTTATGCACTACCGACTTCAGACTTAAATAGCATGTCAAATATAGAGAATGGGAAGATCCAGGCCAAGTTTTCCAGGGTGTAGGTTTGTATTGTTTACATCAATCATGGCATAATCAAAGGACCATAATTTAAATTTGTTTGTTTTTTAAAAGCTATTTATAACAGCACAAAGATGTGGAGATTTTTTTTCCTATTGGTTTGAGGGGATTTGTTTGTATTTTGTTTTGTTCTCACTGTTGGTCACATCTTTAAAATTCAGTAGCTGGTTTCTTTGAAGACCTCTCTGCAGCATAACTTATGTAATATTTATTGACCTTCAGCTTCTGGAAGAAATCATTTATGTGATGGAACCTTGATCCCCTGCCACATTAAAAAAAAAAAATGGATGAAACTTTATTTCCCTTGGAGTAGTAGAAATGTTTGTTCTCTTAAATGGATTTACCCAAGCTGCTGTATGTTGGTTTTGTATTAAAAGCAGAAGCCAAAGAAGAAGAAGATACTTCTGAGTCACAGTCAAAGGGACTTCAGAAGACAGACCTCTATCATCTTCAGAAGGTCAGAGCACTTTCTTATCCTTCCAGCCACATCCCCTGATGTTCCCGTGTGCTCTAGATTAGCTCTGCCTGGATGTTTTTGTTTTCATTTTTAAACCACAACTAGGAACAAAGCAGACTTTGTAACTCACTTATAAATTGAACATCCTGTTTATTCCACTGCTATCCTCATTCTCCATGTAGAAGTTGGCGGAAACTGTTCCGATAGCCTCAGAGAGAAAGAGAATTAACTAGTAATAAGGGAAAATGGGAACCTGGTTGCAAAAAGGAATCTGATTATTTATCTGATGTATTTGTTTTTCAGTTTGATCAAATTGAGAGGTTCAGAAGAGACTCTTTAGTTTTGGATATTTTTCTTGATTTTTTAAAGAAATGCATATTGAGTATAGAGCAGAAATTGAGCCACAGTGTCTAGTGTAGCCTTTTTCAGATAGTTCTAACTTTAGGATCTTGGTTGTCAAAGTAAAGAACCTTGATAAACCTTAAACCATGATACCAAGTTATGAGGAACGTAGAATAAAATATCAATCTAAGCAAACCAAAGCATATGGAATCTATTCTGTTAGCATGGCAAAGAGCAAGCGTTTTCTCTTCTTCTTGGAAGTCCTTTTCTCAAATGAATTAGTGGCTTGTGGCTCGTGGGCGCTCTGCCCTATAACTTAGTAGCGACGTAAGCTGCCCTTCTCCTCTTTCTCTGAAAAGTCACTTTATATTTTTTGAAGCAAAATACCTAGGAGGAGAGATTCTTCCCAGTCTTGAAAAATAAAAGATAAACACAACCCCTATTGATCTGGTTCTTTTTCTGTACACTCTGTCGTATGGAAAGGGCATCAGCTGCCTCTGCCTGAGCAACAGAGCTGCCCTCTGAGGGGCTTTCTGTCTCAGAATCACCAGAAACAGAACAAGGTGTGTTCTTTCATCCATAGTCATTATTGGAAATGAAGGAGTTAAGAAGAGCAAGTAAGAGGCAGACCAAGTTTGAAGTCCTCAGAGAACAGCTTGTGAGCTTCATCGACAGTCTGGCGCGGTGAGTCTGTTGTTGCTTTTCAGAGCTAAAAATCAGGCTATTTGCCCAAATAACACTGGTGTGATAACTGTCCGCAGCCAGTCCGGGACACTTCTGGGTTAGGCTTTTTGCTCCTCGAGGCCCTCCGTCCAGCGCAGACTTGTAATTTTATTCCTTTCCCATCCTTATTAAGGTCACTCAGCAGATGGCTTAGTTCATTCTTTTACTGCCAGTTCAAGAACACAGGTTTAAATTTGATGTAGTTCATTAGGCCTGGGCGGGGGTGAGGATGGAAACAGAACAGGAAACAGAAAAGTGAGTGTTTTCCCCCTAGTAGCAGAGTGTTTGCCTTACACTTAATCCTTGCTCTGTCTTTGCTCAGAGTATGTTGGATCTGGGCCAAACCCAGAAAACAGCCCAGCCCAGCTGTAATACCCTATTTTATCCTGAGTAACGGGTTTCTAATTCTGAGGGATACCAGTGTAACTCTGGATCATGTCAGCACAGACGCATGGTGAGCAGGGTACTCAGAGTCAGTTTAGAAGTCCACCAGTCCTACCTGTATTTTAAGGTGATTCCTTTTTTGGGAAACCCAGATCATTCTGATATTTGGATTTCCCAAAAGCCAGCTCTGTGTAGCTCTTTAAAATCATACATCTCACCTGCAGGTGGGACATGCCATATAGGAAAAAAATGAGAGGTCTGAAAAATAAAATGATTTAATAGTTAAATAGGGAAAAAACTGTTCTTTGTCATTGCTTATTCTGTTTTTTAATGGCAATTCAAACTCAGCAGCAGGCTAGGCACTGACTAGAATCAAGTACTAAAAAAGAAAGCAGCTCAGTTATTGAAGACAAAGAGTGGTTTTCTGATAAATTGCCTGTCCTTCTTGAAAGTGAAGAGTTCCATTTTCCAGGACAGTTTTGGGGCAGAGTCATTGTTCCTGGGCACTGGGGAGAAATTACTAATGTCAGGACAGAGGTCGAAACGATCAACCAAGTATGACAAAAGGAAGGTTAAAGTGAGAGAAATGGGTCACATAAAAGTGACACAGTGCAATTCTAAAGTGACCTACTGGCTAGAAATGACCTTGGAAAACTCATAGAATCAACCTTGCCATACTGGGCCTTCCTGTTCTTGTAGTTTCTAGCCCCAAGTTTCTGGGTTTTCCCTTTTACCAAGTTGAGACCATTGTAGTTGCTAAAAATGATTTTACAGTATAATTTGGCATAATTTATAGGTCAAATGTCATGTTCCTTTCTGCATTCCCACAAATCCCAAATTGTAGGGTTGGAAGCCAACCAACCATTCCCCTTTTATGATCTTTGACCTAATATGCCTGACTTTTCACCTTCCTGAGCAGTTATTGAAATAAAGCTGGGCATGATTGAAATGTGTTGTATTGTGAAATCACAACAATTTCCATACTAGGATTTACTATCTTTACCAAGCTTGAGTGTCCCAGCAGGGAAGAGATGAGGACTGTAGTACGTTAGAGCTAAATGGGACCTGAGGACTCATGTGGCAGCTAAAGCCCAGAGAGAGGCTGTGACTTTTGGAAAGTCACATAGTTAGTCCCAGTCTGCTGACATCTTTCAGAAGGCCCGCTCTCTTTCCCCACACAGTCCCCAAAGACCACACCACAGATGTTTGAACAGAGCTTGGAGTTCTGGAGAAAAGCGGCCCTTGAAAGATCACTATAAGCAACAGACACCAGGAAGTAGAGTTCCCCATACACCATGAGCAGCTCTTGCTGAAACTACTGAGAAATGAGAATAAGTTGCTGCTTTCTAAGTTACTGTTTTCACCAAAGTACAAGCTTCAACCTTGTAGCCCTTGTGGATACTAAGTGGTCCTACCAGCTCCCCCCAGACCACCGCCTCTTTTGCTTGTGGACTCTGCTCTGAGTCTAAAATGAGCGTCATGCTGAGCTCCAGTGCCAGACTCACTGCTGATGTCCGTGCCAGTCTCCAAATTTGGAGTTGGATAAAAATTCTAATATATGATGATGTTTTGTCAGTATTTTTCAACTAACATAGCCCAGTGGAAACAAAATACAGGCAAGTATTTAGACTCTGGAGGTTCTTTGAGGATATCTAAAAAGGCCTTTTGCCTTGAGAATTATCTGAATCTCTAAAAATTAAATAAAGATGTTGAAAAGGGAGAGGAGGACAAATATGAGACAAAATTTTTTCTGAAATTGACTCTTATCTGGTTGCCTTGTTAGATTTCCAGTTCTTATTACAGAGCAAGGACTCCAACGTGAACTTTTAATGACCATTATGTATAATGATTGGGGAGAAAACAGCCTGAGGTTGGGATAGGAAAAGTTTATGGTCAGAAATTACAAATGGGTAGCCAGCCATCCAGGGAGGCAGCTCGCATCACAGAAACCATTCCTGAGACTACAGCTAAATAGCTTAATCTCGAGTCAGATGTTAGCAGTGCTTGAGGTATAGAATGCTGCTTCTTAGGGCCAAGTCAGAATCCTAATGCTTTTTGCACATGGGTTTTATTCCAATGACTCTGAAGAAGGAGCAGCATCTGGAAGCTAAATGAGCAGGGGGCCAGGAGCTCTTGAGACGGGCAGGACGGAGATGGTGGGGAGGGAGGGACATGGGTCATACCCTCTCTGCGTCCTCTCTTCCTCAGAGCCAGACCACACGGGAGGAGCAGGTGTGGTGGGATTTTTCTAGGCCCTGCTATCCTCTCCAGGAGGGAAGAAAGCCAGGACACCAGGAAGAAGAGTAATTTCCCCAGTGGCTGGGCTGGGGGAGCTGCTTGGTTCTGCCTGCACCGGTGGGAAAGGGAGCTGATACAAATCTGTCATGTGACCAAAATACTTTAGGCCCGGGACTAACTAAGCCCCAGAAATCTTTATGAAGGCATGTGAGTTAACTGCTTTAATCAAGTTAGTGACTTATTACTCTGTCTTTGGGTTATCGGTGCCACAGCTTCTCCCTTCCAGTTTGCTACCCTCTAGGCCACCCAGGAACCATGTACTGTCACAGCTCATACCAGCTGATAGGCTCATTACATATTCAGATGAAATTTTTAATGGTTTATCTTTTAAGTTCAGATTTCATTAAAATTGGTTTATTGTCTAGCTCATAAATAACACAGAAGAATCCCAAGTTACAGTGGTATTTTTTTAATAATTGAAATTTTAATGATAAATGATTTCCTTGTTTTTAATACTCTGAAGCTAAAATTTAGCCTTTTCTGCCTATAAAGTAAGGAGGAAGTCTAACACATAAAAAACTTTACCTGTATTACTTCTATGAGAGACATCTCTGTGATCAAAAAAGAATTTCCTAAACTCTTAATTCCAGGTCTGAGGCCGTGTTTAACACTGCCAGGAGTTAAATGTGTGCTATGAGAAGGAATATGGATATCTCTTGTTTCCTAAATAATTTAAGAAAGTATTCATTTATACTTTAAGAAATTCTACCTTAAAGATTTTGAGCAAAGTGGGAAGCAGCTGCATAGCACAGGGAGATCAGCTCGGTGCTTTGTGACCACCTAGAGGGGTGGGATAGGGAGGGTGCGAGGGAGACGCAAGAGGGAGGGCATATGGGGATATATGTATATGTATAACTGATTCACTTTGTTATACAGCAGAAACTGACACACCATTGTAAAGCAATTATACTCCAATAAAGACATTAAAAAAGAAAAGATTTTGAGCAGAAATGTCATTTATATACATTTGTTCCTAGAAGTTTAAATCAGAACTAAAATATAGTTTCTCGTACACCAGAGAGTCAAAGTTTTAAACAATATTACACGGAGAGGTGGCATTCTGAGTGCAGCTGCACTGGATTTGATATTTGGTTGGTTTTGGCTATTGTTGATTTTGCTTTTTCGGTAAGTTGCTCGGCCCTCTACAGAGGACTGACAGAAGTGGTTTATTGAAAATAGACCTGTGCTTATCTAAAAGCTGATACCTCACTTTGGTGGTTTCAGAGAATACCTCCTGCTTCCAGAGACACAGCCTCTGCATGAGGTGCTGTACTTCAGTGCTGCCCACACCCTTCGCCAGCACCTGAACGCTGCCCCGCGGATCGCCCTCCATACCGCACTCAACAACCCATATTATTACCTCAAGGTAAGAAGCAGTCATTTCTCTGACAATTTAGTTCAGACTCCAGGCTTTATGTATCACAAAAATATTGTAAATTTGCAGTTCTAATGAGCAGGGAACTGGCAGCTCAGGGTTGCACCTCTTTCAGATATTTTTAAAAATTCTTTAGATTTTTAGAAGGCTTTTTCTAAGCCAATGAACTAACACTGCCAACTTTTGATCATGCGTAATTGTCTTCTCCTTCATGTGATAAAACCAGATCATAGGCACTAAGACTTGAGTATAATGCTACTACTCTTGAAAATAAAGGAAAGGTTTCTTACAGACATAACAGCAGATAATAGGTCAAACCATATGGCCCAGTGAAATTACTTAAAAGAGCCAAATGATTGTTTCTGATGCAAAAAAAAAAAAAGGAATTTCATCTTGGATTTTAAACCAAAGAAAGATCTGCTCTGAGAGTATCTCCAGAGCTGAGTATAGAGGACAGCCAGCAATATGCCAGGGATAAAACTGCTAAACTCCAGACACATTTGCCAGTTCCAAGTTGTTCTTTAAACGGAGAGTTCAAGACAGTTGAGTATTTTTAAAACTAACTTTCCTATGACCAGGTAATATCATTTTAAACAGCTCAGTAAGCTATATTTCGGTTATATACACACACACAAAGTAATTTCCTGATAATTTGCTAAGTTAATATTAAATTGTTAATTTGTTAATAAGTTATCAACTCAGTTAAACACCTAGAAATCTTGCAACAGAGGATACTTAAGAAGTGACTCCATAAAACCTATGAAGAGAGTTCCGAGGTATTGGTTTCCTGTCCAGAATGGCACACAAACATGCTAATAAGCCTTACAAGAGAGTACTGAGTAGGAAGATGTAAATCAGTGATTTTTCAATGACGGTGGTAGTGGGGTACTTGAATAATTTCATATTTAAGGCACAAAATATCAATTATTTTTATTATATAAACCACAAATTAAAACTCTACATAATCTGTCTTTTCGGCTAGTAGTAAGTCACGGAAGAGAACTGGTGCAATTTCAGCAGTTTTGGGAAGGATATAATTCCCATGTGTATGTTTGAGAGAGATTTTGTTTCTTAATAAGAACCATCATTTTCACATAGGTTGAAAAAACATTGATGGTTTTGTAAAGGTTAGGATCTGCAGTGTTGACAGCAGTCTTCTTTGAGAGATAACTTATATCCCTGGTAGTGGTGTGTTGGTATTTATTAATACAGTATAGTAATTGCTAGAATTCATGTAATTACAAATGTTGGAAGTGGCATTTTATTGAAAATCCACAAAATTCCATAAACTTTTATGGAAACCAGAAATGCATTAGAGTCTCAATAATGAATAATGTATGATTAAAATGAAAAAAATTAATAATTTATGATGAGAATGAAGAATATGCTTGTCTTCTCTGATCCTGGCTGTATTCATCTAGTGATTAGGAGCTAGAGGGATTTTGACCAAGACCTCATCCTAAACAACCAGCTAACTATTGGAGAGTAGGTGCAACTCACAAAATAAAGGAAACCAAAGACTACACTTATTGGCTTACTAAATTCAGGTTAGCAGGTTAATTAATGTCTGATTTTGTTCCTCATCATTTCTGAAAGGTAGTTATCTTAGTTTACTGTTATTTTTAGAATGAAGCACTGAGAAGTGAAGAAGGTTGTATTCCAAATGTCGCCCCAGACATCTGCATAGCATATAAACTGCACCTGGAGTGCAGCAGGCTAATCAACCTTGTGGACTGGTCGGAGGTAGGTCAGGGGGAAAGAGCAAGCTGTCTATGTGTCTAACCATCCATGACAACTTTCCTGGAATGTTTTTATGCTTTTGGTACTTTGAAACTCATCTCTTATTTTTTCAATGCCCTGTCTTTGGTTTGGAAAGCATTATAAATCACCTGGCAAGTTTCTCCAGAAAAGCAGCTCACTGCTCAACAGTCCCACACAAACCCCTGCACTCTGATCCCACACCCTCAACCGAGCCAATTCTGCATCCATGCCAGGTCAAAATAAGTACATTTTAGTATGTTTAGCAAAAGCTAAACAGTTTAGGTCAGTTCCGTTATTCCACAGAATAAAAAAGTACATTATTAACTAGCATTTCCCTTATTGCATAAAAGAAAAGATTGGAATAACTACACAAAAGTTAACTCTGTTAAAGGCCCTATTTGATACATGTCACCATTTAAAAATATGCATAATCGGCTGCTTCCAAGAAAAATAGGCATTTTCCTGGGAGATGGAGGTTGGAGTAGAGGATACAGGGCATCCTTTGCTTTTCAACTTTGAATAGTTTTGCTACCTGTTTTTCTCTGCACGTTTCTTAATTCTCTGAAATATAAGATTATTCAGAAACCATTCCATTATCTTCTAATTTTTTTTTCTTATGCAGAGAGCTCAATACTTTATTTAATAGATCTTTATTGTAGTGTAATTGCTTCACAAAACTGTGGTAGTTTCTGTTGTACAACAAAGGGAATCAGCCATATGCATACATATGTCCCCGTATCCCCTCCCTCTTGAGTCTCCCTCCCACGCTCCCTATCCCACCCCTCTAGGTGGTCACAGAGAACCAAGCTGATCTCCCTGTGCTATGCGGCTGCTTCCCACTAGCTATTTTACATTTGGTAGTGTATATATGTCCATGCCATTCTCTCACTTCGTCCCAGCTTACCCTTCCCCCTCCCTGTGTCCTCAAGTCCATTCTCTACATCTGTGACTTTATTCCTGTTCTGCCCCTAGGTTCTTCAGAACCTTTTTTTTTTTTTTTAGAGTCCATATATATGCATTAGTATATGGTATTTGTTTTTCTCTTTCTGACTTACTTCACTCTGTATGACAGACTCTAGGTCCATCCACCTCACTACAAATAACTCAATTTCATTTGTTTTTATAGCTGAGTAATATTCCGTTGTATATATGTGCCACATCTTCTTTATCCATTCATCCGATGATGGACACTTAGGTTGCTTCCATGTCCTGGCTATTGTAAATAGTGCTGCAATGAACATTGTGGTACGTGACTCTTTTTGAATTATGGTTTTCTCAGGGTATATGCCCAGTAGTGGGATTGCTGGGTCGTATGGTAGTTCTGTTTTTAGTTTTTTAAGGAACCTCCATACTGCTCTCCATAGTGGCTGTTATCAATTTACATTCCCACCAGCAGTGCAAGAGGGTTCCCTTTTCTCCACACCCTCTCCAGCATTTATTGTTTGTAGATTTTTTGATGATGGCCATTCTGACTGGTGTGAGGTGATACCTCATTGTAGTTTTGATTTGCATTTCTCTAATAATTAGTGATATTGAGCATCTTTTCATGTGCCTCTTGGCCATCTGTCTGTCTTCTTTGGTGAAATGTCTATTTAGGTCTTCCACCCATTTTTTAACTGGATTGTGTGTTTTTTTGATATTGAGCTCCATGAGCTGTTTGTATATTTTGGAGATTAATCCTTTGTCCGTTGTTTCATTTGCAAGTATTTTCTCCCATTCTGAGGGTTGTCTTTTTGTCTTGTTTATGGTTTCCTTTGCTGTGCAAAAGCTGTTAAGTTTAATTAGGTCCCATTTGTTTATTTTTATTTCCATTACTCTAGGAGGTGGGTCAAAAAAGACCTTGCTGTGGTTTATGTCAAAGAGCGTTTTTCCTATATTTTCCTCTAAGAGTTTTATAGTGTCTGGTTTTACATTTAGGTCTTTAATCCCTTTGGAGTTTATTTTTGTGTATGGTGTTAGGGAGTGTTCTAATTTATTCTTTTACATGTAGCTGTCCAGTTTTCCTAGCACCACTTATTGAAGAGGCTGTCTTCAGCCTCTTGTATGTTCTTGCCTCCTTTGTCTTAAATTAGGTGACCATACGTGTGTGGGTTTACCTCTGGGCTTTCTATCCTGTACCATTGATCTATATTTCTGTTTTTGTGTACTTATTTATAGTGATCATCAGTGTAGTTTTGAGACTCTGAAATTTGGTATCAGTTTTTAAAATGTGTCAACTACCAGCAGCAGCCGTGCTTGACCTGGCTTAAATACAGAGCCTTCAAGTGCCATAAGAGATGTCTGGCAGTGGCAGAGATTTTTATCTTCTTTCATCCTCTCTCTCAAAAGGCCTTTGCAACAGTTGTGACAGCTGCTGAAAAAATGGATGCAAATTCTGTAACCTCAGAAGAAAGGAATGAAATTATCCAGTATCCTTTAAAATCAGTTCTACAGTGTCCAAGTAAGCATACAGAATAGTTTATAGTTTCTCCAGATCTACATTAGAGATTTAACCATACCATCCCAAGATAACTCGTTTCTAAATACTTATTCTGAATTTAAAATGGCCCAAATCTAAACTATTTGGTCTAAAACTTATATAAAGGTCATATTCCAGAATACACCAAAAATGGTCATTATTGAATTCTCTATTTTTCTAAGGTTATTAATATACTTTAAGAAGTTGGCAGGAAAGCAATTTTCGTACTCTGAAAAATGAGAACCAGACAAGTGTTACACACTTTTCCATTCGTGTCTTATTGACAGTAGAGTCTAATTACATCTAATGTTTTCCAGTAAGGGTTTTAGTTTAATTTAGTAGTATGTATTCAGTTTACTAAATCATGTTTTAACATTGAGATTTTAACCCCTTTTTGTCAGAAGTACATGGTGAATTTCCTTAGCTATAGCCTCCAGTGCTCGGTTTATTAGAGCTGTTTCTGAACTAGAACTTTTAGGATTTATAAAACCTACCAAACAGAAGACTGACCATGTGGCAAGGCTAACATGGGGAGGCTGCTAGAAAGCAAATGAGTGAAGCCAGAAAGACAGCATTTAGCTTAAGAGTAAAAGGAGACCAATCATATTTACACACCGGTAGAGGAAGATTGCTTGGGAAGAAGCATAATGTGTAATCCCTGTGTGATGTTTAAACAGAAAAGTAGACTGTTAATCCCTATCAGGAATGTATCAAAGCACCTTTGGAGTACTTTAGAATCCAACAAATAACATGCTAACATTGCAAGTAGAACCTCTCTCAGAGTATCACTGCAATTTTCATTCATTAAGAAATTATGAATAAATTGTTCTTGAACATACATAATGTATAAATGTAATAAATTCCTTTGTCTAGGGGTTTCTATTAATATGCATTTAATTTAATAGTACTTATTCCTGCTCCCCCAGTTTCTTGCACTGGCATTCCTCACTTTAGTAAATTATGTAATAAGATGAAGATTCTAGAGGTTTCTCCTAGTAACTACAGAGGTTCTAAAACTTCCTCTGCTGCCCCATTTCCTTTAGTCATACAACTTAAAAAGCCCCAAGTTGTTTGGCTTTATGCTTAAAGGCAGTAAATATTCTACATCAGGAAGACCCATCATGGAGTCTTAGAGCCTCTAAGGCCTTTACAAATCACATCAACCTTTTAAGACACAGATGAAATGACATCTGAATCTCTTCCATGACAAGAACTCATTAAGACAATGAAACAAGGAGACCTCAAGTTCATTATTTAATATTCTATTTCCAAGAGAATTCTGGGATGTGTCTTTAAGTATACTCACTAACATACCAAAATTACCATGCAAATATGACCAGGAGAAAAAAAGTCCAAATTCAGTGAAGACTGTTTTAGTTGCAAACCTTAGAACTGTGTACTTGCAGGTCTTTTTGTGTGTGTTTGCTTTGAGGACAAATTTAATGTATAACTAATTGTTTTTAAATTTAATATAAACTTAATATATAACTTAAACTTCATTAACTCTGGAGTGTAAAGGAGGTATTATGAGTATAAAGGGCATCTTAGCCCTCTGGCAACAGGGTGGGCCAAGATGACATTAATGGATAAATGCTCCCTTCCCCACTTCCTGCTCCAAAAACTAAAAGTGCTAGATGAAATATACTCCAAAACAAATCATCAGAATGTTGCCAGGGTTAAAAAGAAAGGTAAATCCCAAGGTACCAGAAATAATTACAAGCCAGAGCAGAAAGTGTCTAGCCCTACAAAGCTTTGAGACCGTTACCAGAGTAGCATTAGTTCAGATAGATTAGGTCTTACTGTCTTCATCTAAAAGATGCCAGGATTTCTTACTCAGTAGAATTTTAAAACATGTACATATGCACAAAGGGCTGTCAACTTGGAAAGTAAGGAATTTATGATATGTAACCATAAACACCACCACCAATAAGGAAGAAACTGGACAAATAAGAGGCTTTTGACACCTTGGAATCCATGTGTTAGAGGCAGAGCCTCTGTCACCTAGGGGTCCCTGAATGAGGGCATGGAGCAGAGCCTCTGCCAATGCTCATGATCAGAGCAGAGAATAGATTTCTACTGTGTGAAGTTTTCCACGATTTATCTTAACAGCAACTAGGTCACTATTGTTTCTCAATATTCTCTAGCCATTCCCCTCCAATCAGAGGTGTCCTCAATCATGTGTTTCATTTTTGACTATGGTTGGTAAAATCTAGGGAAAGAACGTGTGAATGATTTTAAGGATTTTCCACCTATTGTCTAAGTGAGGCAATCAGCAATACTCCATGTCTGATTAACGTGAAGACACCATCAATATCTACAACGCAGTTTCCTCAGCTTTCAAATGGTGCAGATGAGTGTCAGATAAAATTGTGTTTAGAAACCATTCCTTTTGACAAAATGCTTATACTGTAAGGTACAGAGCCTCACACAGACCAGCAGATTTATGTCAGTCTGAGGCACTTGAGGGCTCTTGAGCCCTGCTTCCTTTCTTTTTTGCTAGGCATTTAGTTGAATTCAGCCTATCTAAATGCATGTCAGGCACTGAACCACTTCGATTTTTCTTACTGTCTACTTAAGGATTAGGTAAGAGTAGCAGGATGGAAACTGTTTTGTAAATATTCAGTCGAAGCTGTAAAATTGAAACATGAAGCTCATTTGTGGTAGCCATTAATGGAGCACAAAACCCTCAAGCCAGCCTATAAAGTGTCAGCTTAATTATGTCCATTCCTTAATACTGTAAAACCTCACAAATGGGATATTCTGATGCGTTAAATCTTGTGGTTAATGAAATACTAATCTGAAAAGTTTGAAAATTTCGAACTGTTGAAGTAGTTTGAAATTTTTTCACAAAATATTGAGCATGTACCATGTGCCAGGCACTGTTGCAGGCCCTTGTGATACTTCAGTGAGCACAGATCTTTGCCCTCATTGCATTCTAGCAAAGAGTACAATGATTAATTATATAGTATATTACAGAAAAAAACGAAACAAACAGCAAAAAGAAGCAGGATGTCATGCTGCAATTTTAAACAGTGGTCAGAACAGGCCTGAGATGACGTTTGAACAAAAAGATTTAGTCATGAAGTTTTATGGAAGAAGTGCATTGTACACAGCGAACAGCCAATAACAAAGGTCCTAAGGGCAGTACGCAAGCTGCACTGGAGGAACAGCAAAGGTGGCCAGTGTGGGACACGCAGTGAGCAAGAGGTAAACTTCAAACTGAGTGAGGCGGGGTGGAGGGCAGGTAAGTTATGGCCCTGCAGACCATTGTAAAGTCCTTACCGTCTATAGGTGGGAATCCATCTAAGAAAGACTTAGACCTTTAAGGGATCACTGACTGCTATGAGAACAGACTGGAATAGGTTTGGAGACACAAATAAGGCAAAACAAAGACCAACTTGGAGGTCACTGAAATCGTCCAAGCAAGACACAAATGTCTTCAAGAGTAATAGTAGAGATGGTGAGATTTTAGATGGATCCAAGATCGGATGAAGGATGTGAGGAATTCAGGGCTGTTTTTTGGCTGAGAAACTTCTGAATGTAGATGCCATTAGCTGAGGAGAATTTAAGAGGCAAAAAAAGGAGTTTGGTTTTGGACGGGTCTTCAGACCTCTTATTAGATATCCAAGTGGAAAGGTCACATAGGGAGGCGAAGGTAACCATCTTTAGGATTAGATGAGATTACCAAAATGAGTATGAGCAGAGGGGGCAAGGAGCCCAAGGTCAAACTCTGGTTATGTTTTAAAGTTCAGAGAAAGGAAGACTGGGCCAGCAGCCAGTAATGGGAGGAGAATCAGGTAGGTGCGGTTAGTACCTTGCAAGCCAACTGAACAAAGTGTTTTAAGGTCAAATGTCAATTACATTTAGCAATGTGGAATATATTGGTGACTGAGTGGTTGAATAGTGAAGACTAAGCCTGGTAGCCATCACCTACCAGATGACCTAACAAGTGTCTAAACTTATCACTAGTCCATACTTATCACACAGAGCCATACTTTGTGTGATACACTGTGGAGATCATAGCATCATCTTATACAAAAGGTTTAACCTGAAACTAATAAATGCTTTAGACCTAACTTCCAGTTTACAGTAAGTGCAAAGGGATAGAAGAGATTAAATTAATGACATTAATTAATTAATGACAAAGAAACATTCAACAAAACAGGCCTAGTTGTTCCAGAAAGTCAGAATCTTGATTGAATCCTACTTTAGCGAGAAAGCTAGACATTTTGAGGACAAATGGGAAAATCTGAATATGGACTAGATGTTAAATTAGGGAAGCATTACTTTAAGTGGGATAATGTTATTGAAGTTATGTAGGAGAACCCCCTTGTTCTTAGATGCATCATGTATGCGTTCTTTGAAGCAGTTAAAAATATACATATAAAGCAAATATGGCAAAGTAATTGTTCCCTTTAAGTGGATCGTTGGACCAATCTTTCAGCTTTTATGTTTTGACTTTTTTCCTAATAAAAAAATTTGGTGACAATAAAATATACCCAACTGAAAAAAAAAAATTTGGTGACAAAAGGAGCGGGGAGGGGGAAGAAGATTGGAAATTTAGAAAATCCTTGAGTTCTGCTTCAATGGTTATAGAACAGAAAAATAGGTAATAGCTAGAGAGGGATTACAGGATCAAAAGACTTTTAATAGCATGTTTATTATGCTTATGGGAATGATCTAGTAGACAGAAAGGAAACGGAGGCAGGAGAGCACTGCTGGCCCTGTCTTTGAATGAGCTAATGCTCCTCAGCTAGGGCAGAGGCAGAAGCAGAGAACTGGAGCCCCACCAGTGAGCAGACAAGGACAGGCTCATGAGGTGCTTGAGCAGGATATTCACTTATTAACACCGATTACTGTGTAATTGTGAAGTAAGGGAGTAAAGAGAACCCTAACAAGGCAACTATTGTATATTCACTGCCAACCCTAGCTGCTTGGATCAGCTGGGGAGCATATTTAAACAGATTCCAGCTCTTCCCTCCCCACTTCTTTAGTCTTCTAAAGCAGTCTCTGTGGGTAGAACCTGGGAAAGCGCTCCAGTTAATACTGCTCATGCAATCAGTGTCTCATTTGGAAACCATTTTCTGTAGGGATATAAGGTCTTGCCATAGGCCAAAGATAGCTTTGATATTTTAAACCTACAATCTGTTTTTTTCAGATTGCCTGTGCCTATTTTTCCTAATACAAAGAACTATACCTGGTGATGTGCCTTGTTAATAGTGACTTACTGAACACATTACAGTAACCTGAGTACAGCACCACACCAGCACTGGCTTTTACTGTAAAAGAATAAGATGACTGTTTGTTAGCACACTAAATTCTGAAGATACTTACTTACTAGAAGCAGTTTTAGGGCTCTTTGGGAACTCAAAGTGTGGCTGGTTTTTTGCACTAATGACCACCTACTGGGTCCGTCTAAATCTTGGATAAACTACATCCAAGAAGTTGCCCACATTTATTTTCTGAAATTACCTCACACACTATTTAAAATCAGTACGCAGCCTATGAGCTAGGACTTTTTGCTAAGGTGGACAGCAGAAACTTGGCTGTGGAGGAAATTTTGTTCTTGATCAAAGCTGAATCTAGAATTAAAACATATTACTTGTGGCTCCATTCAGATTGCCAGCACCGATTTCCTTTTAGCATAGCTTGCCCGGTAAATATAAAAACAGCTCTTTTATAAATTTAAATCTACATAAAAATTCACACATGCTTATTATATAAAAGAATGTTCGCTATTTTGGGGTGTGAGAAGGGATAAAGCATATTTACAGTCGCTCTGCCCCCCTCCTCCACATTTAACTTACTGCTTGCATTCTAAAATGCTGTCCCACTGCACCAGCAGTTCTCGGCTGGGGACTGTTTTCTTCCCCCAGCCCGGACATC